TAATGGATCCAAATCAAATATAAAATATTTCTAAAATATTAGTGGACTAGCATATTATGCAAAACTCTCCTTATTACAGTCCTTTTCCATAACGGCTCTATCATCCACATGAGCAGCATTGATATATAAGGGTCAATAACAAGAAGGCAAGAATCTGGGAACCACCTCTCTTTACTTTCACCCACATACATTTTTGTTCTTTGACTCAGAAAAACCTTAGCTGAGAATATATACCCACTGCTATCTCAGTCATCCTATGGAAAATGTATAAAGCTGAAACTCACTGCCATTAAGTCAATTACAATTCAAAGTGATCCTATATAGGATTTCAGAAAATGTAAATCTTTACAAGAGCAGACACCAGCAGTTACTGGTGGGTTTGAAACATCGACCATTCAGTTAGAAACCCAATGTTTAATCCATAGTGCACCGGGGCTCCTGAAGATAATTTCCTGAAAATAATTTGACCCCAGTACTACCTCCTCTAAGAAAAGCTACCCGTTGATCTAGATAAAACATAGGCTGGTAATGCTTATACTCTTTATTACTCCCAAAGAACACCAGTAATGCCAAAAGACGTCATATTCCAAGAAACATCTTTATGAGTGTAGAAAATCATTTTTACAAGATTGTATATTCTAGGAAAATATGGTGGTGTGGGGGTCATGAGATGGGCTGCTAACTGCAAAGTTGTTGGTTCCAAACCATCAGCTACTCCCTGGGAGAAAAAAGAGGCTGTCTTACGCCCATAAACAAACTTAAAGGGACAGTTCAACTCTGTCCTTAGGGCTGCTAGGAGATGGCTTCAATTCGATGGCTGTTGGTTTAATTCACTTTTAAAAGATAATTCTTAATTTTGTTAGTCAAGAATGCAGATTAACCAGAAAAATCAGATAATCAAATATTTTTCCCTGCCCCGCCTATTTCTGATACATTTTTGAGCAATGAATTATGACTAACAGCACAGTGCTGTCTGTTCATATGTAACTCATGATGCCTCTGCTTTACTTGAAGACTGGCTGGGCCCTCTGCCATTGCCTAACCGTGTGGAAACACAACACACCGACCTCATTACTCGTGTGCCTTCCCAGGACCACATTCTGAAAGCACTGTCAATTCTACGTCAACAAAATCTTTACTTCTGATGGGCAGTTCTTTGTTTCCTCTTTATTTAGTAAATGTTTTGTTGACTTAACGTCTACTAATGTAGGCAGATTAAGACTTTAAGTAGGACAAAAACATAGAGCTACTAAATTTCTGATATAAATCAGAAATCAATGTCCTTATTGTTCCTTGAAAAAAAATCAGAAAGTCAAAATCCAAGGTAAAAATATCAAACAAGGAAATAGAGTTACACTTGCATTGGCATTCCTTTCCTAGTTCAGGATGTTTGATAATATAGTAGCTATATCCCCACAGTTTAACACCAATGAAACTCAGAACTCTCTTCTAGTATTTTAATGCTTCCTCCCCACCCCATGATCCCAATTCTACCTAACAAATCTGGCTAGACCAGAGCATGTACACTGGCACAGATAAAGAGTTCAAAACACAAGGAATCCAGGACAGACAAACTTCTCAGGATTGATCATGAAAGTAGTGATACCAGGAGGGGAAGAGGAGGGGGAGAGAGGGTAAACTGATCACAATGATCTACATATAACCCCCTCTCTGAGGGACGTACAACAGAAAAGTGGGTGACGGGAGACAGCAGTCGATATAAGACATGAAAAAATAATAATTTACAAATTATCAAGGATTTGTGAGGGAGGGCGGGAGGAAGAGTGGGGGCAGGGGAAAATGAGGAATATATATGTGGAATATATGAATATATATTTATTCATATATATCCCCAATTATTCAATATATTACACATCATTTATAGTGTAGGCTACAGATAATTAAGGAATATTTCTGAAAGGAGAAAAGGAAGAATAAATGGAGTGTGATAGGCTGATGTAAAGGGAGAAAAGAGGTAGCAGCCCTCATTTGAATGCATCTAATTTCATCAGCAATAATATGATGAAGTGTACACATTAATGAACACATAGCAAAAGGCGGGCGAAGATAATAGTAAAATGGGTTTCTAAAAAATAGTTTTAGAAATAAATACCTTCCAACTGTGTTGGTAACATACACCGGCAGACAGTTTCGGCTCACCAGTAAGCTTGTTTTGGCCTGCTTTCATCAGAGGATTCTACCCAGCCTGATTAGGACGGGGATTGTGCCTGGAACTGTTATGGCTAACAGCATTATGTGAACTAAATAAATTTAGTTATTCTCTTCTGCAGCAGTGGTTCTCGACCTTCCTCAGCCCGCGACCATTTTAATGCAGGTCCTCATGTTGTGGTGACCCCAAACCATAAAATTATTTTTGTTGCTACTTCATCACTGTAATTTTGCTACTGTTATGAATCGGGCAACCCCTGTGAAAGGATCATTCTATCCCCAAAGGGGTCACGACCCACAGGTTGAGAACCGCTGCTCTAGAACATAGTGCCTACTGTTATGAATCGGGCAACCCCTGTGAAAGGATCATTCTATCCCCAAAGGGGTCACAACCCACAGGTTGAGAACCGATGCTCTAGAACATAGTGCCTACTGTGCTGATATTAGAAGGGAATACTACAAAATGACTCATACAAGTAAATGTGGAAAGATTTTGCCTAAAGCAGAAGTGATATACAATTCTACAATTAATGATAATAGTGACTTTCCCTGGGAAATGCTCAAAGCCTCATATCAGCTCCTACTGAGTTCTCCAACTTCATGAAAATATACATATCTCTTAAATCTAATCACAAATGAGTCAAAAAAAAACACTCCCATCTATAAACAAAGGGGTTTAAGATCAAACAAAAATATAGTCAAAATGTACTTTGAACTATGTAATATCCAATATGGCCAAAATTAATTTCATACTTTCATATGTTTAATATGCTAAAATATTTTTTGTAGATATAGGGCTACTTGGCATCCTAATCCTTTCAACAACATGCAAGTATAATGTATAACATCAAATATTTTCTATTTCAGAAAACTTCTCCTTCCCTATATTAATATTGAAAAGTGTGGCTCTTCCTACTGTGTTGAAATGATTCGTTCTCAATCCTACTCCAGCCAATGGAGAAAAAATACATTTGTAAATAAACCTAAAGTATATAAAAGTCCACAGTGAGCTTAGCTTTCCTCAGTGAAAGCAACAGAAAGTCTGTACTGTGAAACAGACTTCTCTAACTCTTGCTTCTGTTTTGACTATCAAGTCCAAGTAAATTTTATTGGCCAACTTTAAGTGTGTTTAAAATATGGGGCAGGAATGGAAATACTGACTTAGCCATAGATGAAAAAGCATAGCTTGTTCTGCTAAGTAAATTTTGTCTTTTTAAATTAAAACACAGAATTTCCTTTTCCATATATTCAAATCTATAATTTGAATTTCCACTACTATGCACAATTCTTTTAGAACGTGTGAAAAAGTGTACTTACGTAACCATGTTTTCAAATCAAAATGTTATGGTACACTGGCTTAAATTTAGCTTCAAAAATATTTCTTCTATAGCACTAACAAGATTTATCATTCTATTTGAACCAACTCTGTTCCATCTCAAAGCTGTACCACTTATTTTGTTAGATAATTGAAACAAATTTCCCCCAAATAGCAATTATTAAACCTTCCAAGATAAGGGTTCTAGGCAATACTATTCTTGATTGTTATTTCATAGAACCTGTTCTCTGTAGAAAACATGATTTATCCAACAAATCATAAAGCTAAAGTTGCTACAGTTGCAAGGGATAAAGAATACTGATTCATAGCATATTGTGTTTATAATGGAAAGCAATCAAAAAGGTTTCTTGATGCAGCCCTGGTGGTTTAGTGGGTTATGCATTGGGCTGCTGACCACAAAGTCAGTAGTTCAAACCCATAAGCCACTCTGCTGGAGAAGATGAGGCCTTTTGCTCTCAGAAAAGATTTACAGCCTCAGAAACCCACAGGTGCATTTCTACCCTGGCCAGAGGGCCACGGTGGCGAGTTAGAAAGACGGATATAATTTGACTTTCCCTCTGCCCGATACATGAACTATTATGGTGGCAGAAGATGAGAAGAATCCCTGAAGAAGAAAGAGCACAGGGAAAGTCAAATCCAGAACAAAAAAGAAAAAGATAAGCACCTAATGATAGCAACCAAATTCCTGAAAGACTTAAATTCCCATGCCCACAGGGAAATGGCAGGTCAGCTGTAAAACACTGCACCTATAGCTTCAGTAATGAATTCAAACATCAATATGCAAGGCAAGGAAATACTCCCAATCTACAAACACACATAGTCCCATGACTGTAATTGTAAATACAATCTTAATATTTATTACCGAAACATGAATGTAGTATTTATTCAGTATTTATGACATATCAAAGCACTCTCCTAAGAGCTAAGGATGCTCCTAGGACAGCAGACATAATCCCAATGCCAGAGAGGTTGTACTCAAAGGAGGAGAAGATAAACAAATAAATAAAAATGTTATCACATAGTAATAACTAGAAGCTACTTCAGGTTGGGCATCAAGAAAGGTTTGCTTATTATATTTTATGACAATTACTCCTACAAGTATGAGATCTGCTTGCAAGTTTTTAAAGAGTTTTTCTTTTTTCTTATAACTGCAACTTGGAAAGAAATGAAAATTCCTATCATTTAGATTATTTTACATATAAAAATAAATGTAATCGTTCTGCCAGGTGATCTGACTCATCATAATTATGATCTAATAATCAAATGCATATATATTTTATATACTTATAAAATATATATGTAATTAAAAGAATGTGAAGCATTCTGTTGCCGTCCATCCTTCCCAAGTACATACAGTGACCATGGAGAATAGATACGATCATTTTGCACACTGTATTCTGAAATAAATTTTGCAACCTATAAATAGAGTAATTTTTTAAGTTGATTTTACTTGGAAATCCACATATCTAAATATAAAGGCTTCAATTTAACTCACCTGTGTCTGTACACAGTGCAGAAGATTTATAAATCACTGGCAAAATCCAAGAGAAATCTGCAACAGAAAGAAACAGAAAGACATGAGCAAAATTTGTAGAATCTTATCAGACTCTAGAGCAGATTTGCGTTTTAGCACTACGTTTACAATAGTCATTAATTACTACCCATGCACAAGTCATGTGGTTGTTAGTTGCCCTTGAGTTGACTGCCTGCACGGCAACCCCACGTGCACCCAGTAGAACTGGGTTTTCAAGGCTGTGATCTTTCTGAAGCAGACCTTTCTGGGTGAGTTCAAACTGTCATCAAGTGCTTACCCTCTGCACCACCACACGAGTCATTAATAACACTGCTCTAGTAAAATACATGGTAAATCAAAAGGTAGATTTATTTCATTACTTCACTTTATACACGATAATGTGAAATATGCAAAGCTACAATTCCTGGTGAGTTAGAAAGTTTGTACATTTCAAATTCTGAGTTCCCATCATAACTCTTATCCTTCAACATAGCTGCTATTTCATCACTAGTCTTTGCTGCCAGACAGAAAGCTGATGAGTAGCAGAGGTGCTGGTTGTCCATTTCCAGTGTCGGGTGCTAACGCATAGCCTACAACCACTTACCCACAATTTTATTCATTCATTCATTGTTTGCTGAATGAATGAATGGATAAATAAAATTCATATACTGGTCAAACTTGCTATAGGCCTGGAATTATGGAAATAAGAATCTGTGTAATAACTGCTTTAAAAAAAGAAGTACAAACATGACTGAATAGTTTGCTATTTTGAGGAACATCTATGAAAGAGTAAGATGATGTAATCTATGAAAACCACAACAATTAGCAAGAGAAGAGAAAAGGTGGGTAAGCAAAAGAAGAACTAACCACTTTCCAATACCAATAACAACTGCTTGCCAAGTTGCTACCAAATCTGTATGTTGGAGAGCAAAGGGGTCAACGAGAGGATCTGCAGCACTGGATCTGATTCAGGTAAGAATCACTTCCGCCGAATCATAAAAGTTGGTTTCCAAAGGCAAAAATATGCGCTTATGATAAAAATTTTATGTATATTAAAGCTTTCCACATGTGTAGATTTTATGAGATCAGTGAAAACTGGTCGCTTGTTACTGAGAATCTTTTCTTTCTGGACAAATACTGAGTTAGTTAATTGTGCCAGCCTGGCCGATAATCACATGTGGGGCTGGTTGAAAGGCGGAGGGATAAATGGGTGGTGAAGCCTCGCCTTTC